CGGAACTCTTTTGTGTTTTGACAGAAACGTTTACCTGTCTAAACAGCAACACGCCTGAAAAGAAAATCGCCAATTATCCAATGATGTCTCCATTGTCTCAATCCGAGATAGCCTCTGCCGTGAACAATAAGGTAAGTTGGCTGAAGGAAAGATGTTGTTTTATCGGGAATTGGCTTACGGTAGGTGGATCATTAGGTGTGTCGATGTCGTTAATTGGGCACGAGTTTGTGATTTCTGCATAACTTAGTAAACTAGTGTATTTGAAAGGGCTTTTTTGATCGACAATCAAAATAGCAAGAAACACAAGATATAATTTCGTTGTTTTTACACTATGTTGCCGATTTTGTTTTATATTTTTGTACATATTTTGGTCACATCAGATTTGGCCCTTCACTGAGATAGATGGTTAGATGAAATGGGAAAACGTAAACTCCCCTTTAGTGATAGGGATGGGAAAGTACCCAGATTGTCATCATTTGGTTTTAAGACACCATCTATTGAAAAGGAAAATGATAGTCCTGATCAGGTTACTAACAGGGGCAGTAGTTCAAGAAAGTTTCTAGATAGTTGGAAAATTGGCAGGCCATGGCTAAAATATGACCCAGAGCAAAAGCTCATGTTTTGTGACATATGTATTAAGGCATTAGTTAGAAATAGTTTCACTGATGGCTGCAGTATCATGAAGAAGAAGTGCTTGGTTAAGCATGAGAAAGGATCAGTATATACAACTATTCATCATTTATGAACAGAAAATTATGTAAATTTAGATTAAGTAATTCAGAAATACTATACAGCCTGGAGGATGGTACAATGTAGTTACTCATTACAGCCTGCTTGGCACATGAATTAGAAACACAATCTTTTAGTTTAACGATTATGTCTTTATTATCTCTGAAGTGTTTTTAAGAGATATATTACTTAGGAAGTTACTGTAATAAGTATAATACTTTGATGGTGTAAAATAAGGTTCAATGTAATCCTGTATCTCTCTGCAAATGTCCAATTCTATTCTAAATTTTATTTTCAATTTTACAGATGAGAACTCTCACTCTGCTGCTTTGGCAACACAACAGCAAACTGTCGAGATGCAGAAGGCCTGTAATAATTCCATGTTTATAAACTCTTTTACCATATACTGTGTTATGTTTGATGTATTGTTGTTAAAACAGTGAATAAATAATGTAATTATATAATTAGCATATGTGTTTTTATTATATGAGGAAATTAAGGGCTCGTCAGGTGAGGGTGAGTTCCGAAATCTGTTCACATGCTTATAGAAAAAAAAATTTGGTTTAGCGAAACTGAATTTTGACCCAGAGCTAGCCCTGGTATTATACTGCGAAAACTTACCGGTATCGGCTTCGTTTACACTAAAACATGTTCGCGCTAATTCACTTTCGTCCCGGGTCCGTTCGGCCTCTTTACTTTATAGGCTTTAGTAAGTTTATAGTAGTTTTTAGTAGTGTTACTTATAGATAGATTTCCGATGACGTCACATGAGTCGCATAATTCCATACGCTGCCATATTGTGTGTCAAGCGATTGTTTACAGAACGGTTGCCGTACTAGTTATTGTTAACAGTTATAATAGCCTCTGGCAATGGTTCACACCTGTGTTGTTTGGGGCTGTACAAATCGTGCAGACCCTCGCTCGACGAAAAGACAGTATTTTGACATACCAAAAGTGATTCATCACCAAGGAGAGAACACTGAAAGGCTCTCACTCGAGAGACGCAACTTGTGGCTGGCAAGAATCAACCGAGAAGGCTTTGATGCAGACCCCAACAAAAGACACTATAAAGTCTGCTCCGATCATTTCATCGCAGGTAAATTTATACAAATAGGACTTTTTCGTTTGGCTCTTAAAGTGTTCATTTCATAATTAACATGGATCACAGACCAGTGACAATGGATATAGCCCATGTCACGTACATAGTACTCATAAACATGGCCGATCATCAGCGGATCAGTTGCAGAGGCCCTCATATTGAGTCATAAACGTGTAAATTTATTTTAAATATATTTTTTCTCTGTGCAACTTAAAGTAGATCATGTGCTGATAATAATGTTATTTGTAATTTTAAATTCTGTTTGAAATATAAATTACAAGAATACACAGGGCATGCATCATCTGTTTTAAATACATATGGATGGTATCCATTGAACAGTTCGTTTGAACACTTTTGTAATAATTGTCTGTTTGAATTTTGAATTTTATTTATTGCAGGAAAGAAGGCTGATCTTTATGACAACACAAATCCAGACTGGGCACCATCTCAGAAAATGGGACCAGAGTTACAAGGTAGCTGTCCCACCCCAGATCCTCAATCTACAAAAAAGAGGTACCAACGTGCAAAGTCAAGACAGGAGAAAGTGAAAAAATTCAAAGCTGCAGAGGCACTGTTAGACTTACAAAAGGACACTTCTCTCTGCGTCGTCCCCAATACTGATACTACCAGAGGTACAGATAAGGCCGAAATTGAAAATTATCATATCTGTGAAAAACCTGCAGACGACACACCAACAGATGGACAACTTGTGGAAATGATGAGGAGTGAACTACAAAGACTCACAAGTGAAAACATGGAGTTGAAGGACAAACTGAAGGAAACTGTGTTGTCACCAGAGACACTTGATGATGAGAAAGCAAAACACTACACTGGACTGGACCATGATACCTTGATGACTGTTTACCATTTTCTTGAACCAAGTATACCAGGTAGGGTAAATAGTTCACTGACAAAGTTTGAGAAAATGCTGGTTGTGATGATGAAATTGCGACTAAATCTCAGCCTTCAAGACTTGGCATTCAGGTTTAAAGTTTCAAAAAGTTGTGTGTCAAAGGTGTTTCTCGACACAATTCATGTGATGTACATTAGATTAAAACCGATCATTCTGTGGCCAGAACGAGCAGAGCTACAATTATCAATGCCCATGGAATTTCGGAAATACTTTGGTGTGAAAGTGTCAATAATTATTGATTGCTTTGAAGTTTTCATTGAGAGGCCATCAAACCTGCTTGCAAGATCTGAGACATGGTCCAATTATAAACACCACAATACTGCCAAGTTTCTGATTGGAATAACCCCTCAAGGTGCTGTATCTTTTTTGTCAAAAGGATATGGAGGCAGAGTGTCTGACAAATATGTAACTGAGCATTGTGGCTTACTCGACAAACTTTTACCAGGAGACATTGTTCTCGCTGATAGAGGCTTTGATATCAAAGAGAGTGTTGGACTGAACTGTGCTGAAGTTAAAATACCAGCTTTCACTCGAGGTAAAAGTCAACTGTCTCCAGTGGAACTTGAAACTATGAGAAAGATTGCCCATACAAGAATCCATGTTGAAAGAGTTATAGGACTTGTTAGAAACAAATTCACAATATTGCAGAGTACCATACCAATTGATTACTTGCATAGCAATATTGACAGCATACCAACTATTGACAAGATAACAACAGTTTGTTGTGCACTAACAAATTTCTGTGACTCTGTTGTTCCATTTGATTGATAAATTTGCATTTTCACCAAAGTGGCTTCATATATAGATACATTGTATGCGTCAGGGTGTAAATTGATAGGAATCTCTCAAAATTACTTTTCAACAAATCAAAGAAACTTCATATGTGGTTTCTTTGTGGGACTTTGATGAATAGTTTTATAAAGTACTATTTAATTTACTCAAGTGCTATTTTGTATTGTACAACCTCCCTGAAGATCTTTGTAATAAAAATAGCATGTATTGCTAATGGATGTGTGCATGTACATATGTATGTCTGTATTGTATGTGTGTGGCATCAGAGCAATAGAATGAGTGTTGTCTGTGTATGTGTCGTTTTGAAAAACCTGAATAAAATACAAATTAAAAAAAAAACATGTCTTTTTTTTAATCTCTAATCAGTGATTAGGCCATTCACAATTTGATCACTGCTCTGCTGCAGCCTAGAGGTTTGTGAGATCACAAAAAAAGCAACTACTGGGTTCATTTCATAGTTTTATTCACCAATAAAATAATGTAAGCTGTATCATATTCATGGTGATATCAGTTCAATTCACACTTCATCATACATATACAATGTACACAAAACATGTTTTAAAACAAATGTTCTCCATCAGTATACATGTACTTCACATACATATCAGCACAAGTAACTTGGAACTAATTTCTCACTTGCTTTTCATTTTTTTCTTACATTCCTTACAGTAGCATTTGCCATTTGGTATTTTCTTTATCTTGGCACATGTAAAATGCAACCACTGGTATGGACAGCTTTCTGAGTCACAGCTAATAACATTGGCATCACCTTCCCTGTAGACAGACCGACATGTACATATAATGATGCCACTTGAAGTTTGTGTCTCATTTTTATTTGAGTTGAGCTTCAACAGGTTGGGTTTTGAATACAATTTCCCAACTAATTCACCCAAAATGGCATATTTAAATAGCAAGGAAGCACGCATCACCATTTCCTCACAAAATACTTCGTCCAAAACTATTCTCTCTGTGAAGAAGTCCCTTTCAGTCCAAACGACAAAGTCACAACATTCTGTGTTTGTTAACAATAGCTGGCATTGTACTTGATAGAAGTATGCGTGACACCTTTTTAGATGAAGTTGTCCATCTTTTTCTTCCAGACAGTCTACATCATCACTAACTGATTTTTCTCTCTGGCAATAAGGGCATTTGATTTCTACCACAATTTCTCCACAACAGTTACATGAGGCCATAGCATCTGGAGATGCTCCGAGGAAAGGATACTTAGGATTCACAACTAAACCACTGTCTCTGAGAACAAAGTTCTCGTATAATCCCTTCATTTCTTTTCTGTACTGGTTTCTGGCTCTTTCCTCATGTTGGCAGCCCCACTGGGTAGCAGTACTTAAGAAACTTCAGGAAATATATCTTTCACAAGACTTAAAGATGGTTTGTCCAGTGGAGTTCTGCAGGCTGCTTTCATCCTTGATGCTGTTATTCTACCCGCTCTGAGACAGAACCATTGTTTACAGTTTGCTTGGGATTTTGTATCCATTTCACAATTTTTTGCTTCCTCCTCTGTAATACACTAATTTAGATCAGAGTGACCTCCCTTCTTCCACTGCCGAATCTGATCACCATCAAGAAGATACATTTCAGTGTTTCAAAAATAAAGGTCTACATTTTATCCATCTCAATGCTAGATCTCTTTATTGTAAAACTCATGAACTCCGTAACATTGCTAGCAAAACTAATGCTGCTGTCTTATCTGTCACTGAGTCCTGGCTTGATGGTTCTATTACCGACTCTGAAATGTGTAACTCCAAAGAAAAGATAAGTCAGTCTGGTGTTTTACATATAGGTTTTAGTGACCATTTTCCTGTCTTTTGCACTCGCAAAATTACAAAAAGTGTTTATAACAAACATAACAATATCACTATCCGGTCAACTAAGAACTATTGCAAAGACTCATTTATTAGTAAATTGGCCGAGGCTAATTGGGAAATTGGGAAAAATGTTTTCTTGTGTAACACAATGACTAAACACAGTGTTTACTTCGGTTGACCGAAACGTTTATTTCATTGTATAGTGGTTTTCCATGGTTAGTACTTCGCGTTAATATCCATTACAAAAGATAGTTCCTAATCAACATACAGCATCATGTCGTGGCACCAAAACTAAACACCTGCGCAAGGCAGACAAAAACTAAACACCTGCCCGTCCCTATCAAAGAGTTCCATACAAATATTCATGGGCCAACTTGGCCAGGACCCGCTCCATCGCGGAGCAGGTCCCATACGGGACTCTGCCCGTCTCCACGTCCGACTCCCAACTCTCTCTAGTTACTCGATCCCAGACTCGACTACACTTCTGCTGGCTATTATCTTTGTATAAATAATACCCAAATACTTAATTTAAGCCTAGTCCCAATTGGACAACAATAACCCAGCCCCCGGAGCATCTAATTATGAAGGCACGTGCGACTAGGAGTACCCGTTATCAACTTCCCATCTTTGATCTACCTTATACATTGTTTCTTATCTTGTTTACTTACAAATATGTTCGCCAGCGTGAGGCATACAAAAGAGAGCATCTATCTGTCCTGATCAATCATACTGGAGATATTCTGCCATGGTGCTTCACCACTTGGGTACAAACCCCGCCCATTATCAGGCGTGCATCACTATCTATCACTCACGGGACCTTTTCCTCGGTCCAGCATTAACTGACTTTTGACCTGATGTACTTTAAACTAAGATGCTGCTCTCTACGATACACACAATTCCAAAATTACCATTAAACCCATTTTTTACTCATTTTGTTACATACCTTTCCCACTAAGAATATTAACTAATATTCCAAAACTCGAGAACAAAATGTGGTATGATAGTAATTAGTTATCAATAATCCACCACGAACAGATAATATAATTAGTACTCAACATGTTTTCCTTGTGCAGTATACCTTACAGTGTCCTATTCTAACACAATATACATGCAATAAATATTTCGCCAGTCAGTTATAATTCCACGCGCTAAGTTAAAACACGGCACTGTTCTAATAGTCACAACTACACAGGTCTACAGCCGTTAGTAAGAATGATTAATCCGCTATTTGTCTTCTTTGGCTTAACAAGTTTTTTATAATTGATCTCACAATTAATTATAACCGTCACGCTTTCCCTTGTACTTTCCACCCTTGTACTTTCCAATGTTTTATCTAAAACACAATACACATGCCAAAATATTAATATTTCGCCAGTAAGAAATAATTTCATGTAATGGTCCACCATAGTTCCCGACAGCAATTAATCCAATAACTCGCGAACGTTTAGCAATCCAACAGTTTACGACCTTTCTTAAGGCAACGGCATTTCAGTTATTAACCCAAAGGTTCACACAGTAATGGACTAAAAAAGTTCATGACACTAGGCAATCCACAACGGTTCACGAGAGCATCTTTTTTTTTTCAGTTTCCCATACAGCAATGTAACGGTGCTTGGTTCAAGTTTGGCAAGGCTACACTCCAAATATTAATACAACTTGGTTCCAGAATAATCTTTTCAGTGAATTGAGAATTGCCCATCAGTACCCATAACCTTGGATATAGGTCAACTGGGCGCGAATGTATTCTCTAGCAAAACGGGCGTCAATACATCTCCCCCCATTGGACAAGGCATCAGAAAAACTCCCCGTTTCAATCAAGCTGTGAGCTAAGTCATAATTTGGAAAATACTAAACGTTTGTAGATGCCCTAATTATTTCCAAGCCATTGTGACATCGAAATTCTCTATGCCAGCTAGATCTGGCCCGCTTAATTAAATCCTGTATCAATCTGGTGCTCACGCCATCAACCGCAGAAAAAAAGTTCTGGGCCACTATTGTCTGGTTCCTTTTGGTTTGTGTGTCCAAAACCACAGGCACTCGAGGCCAGGATATTATTTTTTAAACATTGATTTTTGTTTTAGCACTCATGACTGACGTTATTTAAACGAATTATCAGCAGAATTCAAGTTTATCACTATGGAAAAAATCAATTAATTTCCAATTTCTAAACTGTTAGTTATATATTCCTTGTAAAACAATATGTATCCGTAGGTAGTGTGTATATTTACCTTTCATTTGGTGCATAACATTACAGGCAACGAGAAATTCACAATACGTACATGAGATTAACATCTCAATAACCGCCCTTTTTTCATTATCTGCATGATTTTTTTCTTATTTTTTTTTTTTTTAAATTCTCATTACCGCCAGCTTTATTGAAAGTTGATGCATTCTGTATAATCCCTTACCATGATATTGTATCCGAGTTGGCAAATGTGGACTTTCTTTGCCCAGCCATTATTTTTCCATCCCCGCAAATGTATTTGTAGAAATAAAAATATCTATTTTGAAGTTACGCGCGTAATGACATCGGAACCTTTCTTACCTGTTCACTGGTATAGTGCTATCCGGAACTCCTCTCCCAAAAAATCGGAGTGACCGCCCTTGAAATGGCATGATACTTCCGTCAAAGATATTTACATGGACGATAAAAATCTCCGGTTATTGAGATGTTAATCTCATGTACGTATTGTAAATTTCTCGTTGCCTGTAATGTTATGCACCAAATGAAAGGTAAATATACACACTACCTACGGATACATATTGTTTTACAAGGAACTTATCATAACTATTTTTTTTAGCCAGTTTCCAAGCGAGGGGTCGATTTTTTAAAATCTGGAGTTGCTTGCCTTGTGTATTTTTAATGACCGTGGACCTCGGATTTGTCAACCGGCACATAAACTTGAATTCTGCTGATATTTCGTTTAAATAACGTCAGTCATGAGTGCTAAAACAAAAATCAATGTTTAAAAAATAATGTCCTGGCCTCGAGTGCCTGTGGCTTTGACACGTAAATTGAGCACTTGTTCTAATGTTATGAACGCAAAGAACTATAAACAGAATGGTCAAGTTTTGTGTTATATAATAGTAAAATTACATCAAATTCACCACTTTGATTGCAGAATTTCGATTTTATGATCAAAAGTGGCGTACGAAACTAAACCAAGACCACTCTATTTGGACTCCATATTGTAAACAACAAGAAAAGTGTCACGCTGAAAGAGTATAACTTTCGGCGTTTATATGGGCATATTAAATTACATTTGATCACAGTTTTCGACCAAAATATTTGAACCATTACTTAAATGAATATGTATATGCAATATTATTGATAAATAATACATATTAACGAAAATCAAATACGTGGCACAAATGGAGTGGTTATTGACACGTACGTGGCAATAACCACTTGGGTTATCATATAATTTCCTATAAAAATTACTACATCCTCCAAGATATCTTCCTGTTTAGTTAGAATATCTCCATTATCTTTATGCAATTTTGGAATTATTTTGGATGTGAAATTTCTGTTCTCCAAATTAAAGAAGTAGCTAGTTGGCTTTTCCCCCTCCTCCACCCACCTAGCTCTAGAACGAATCATACTCCCCTTGATTTTTTGTAATCTGATAGTTTCTAATTCTTTTCTCTTTTCCTCTAATTCCACTAAATCTACTTCTTCTAACTTCTCTAGTTCTTCTATAGACTTCTTAAGAATATTCTCTCTATGGTCTTGCTGCTTTTTCTTATGAGAAGAGTAGGAAATAGTTGTTTCTCTAATTTCCATTAACAAAGTTTCAAAAAACAACTGATCATTAATGGAAAACTGTAAATCATATTCAGGTATATTGTCAACATTATGTAGGTTATAAACATTATCTATACAATTATTCAGTGCTCCAGATAACTTTTTGACATGAGATCAAGTGTAGTTTTTGACAGCGCCATATTTGCTACTGTTTCACGATCAAGAAAGCGCTTGTTACGAGTTTCGTCTACTTGATAAGTGTCTGTTTGACTTAGATTAACATTAGAAATATTGCGTGAAAACGCATACAATTATTTATACAATTCAAATAATCTATATCTTGTAATAATGAGTTATTAAACTTCCATAAACCCCTTCCTTTCTTAAATTCATTAATTTTCAGTGTGATTTTAGGGAAATAATGGTCTGTTCGATATCCTGGGCCTACACCTGAAAGATGGATACTAGAGAGTAAATTTTCTGAAACCAGAAAAAAATCTAAACTAGCTTGTCTAACTGGATTACTTTTCCTCCATGTATATCTCCTAGTTTCATCATGTTGTTCTCTAAAAATATCAATTAAATTAAAATTCTCTAATAATTCCAGCACTTTATTTTTAGCTCTAGGGTTGTTTATTTTCTTGTAATTTTTATCATAGTCCAGCTCAGGCTTTAAAACCAAATTAAAATCACCACACACTATAACCCTGTTATTGTTAAAAGTTTCAATAGCTTCAGATATTTTGTTATAAAAGTTAATTAAACAATAATATTAATACACTTATTAATTAGGCATCAATACATATTCATAGTTTATCTGTCACTTGAGCACTAAAGTTGTTTTGCCTTCGTTTATTAGTTCATTAAACAACAATATTCAAAGTTTATCACTAAATGTCACTATTCTGGCTGAAAATCTGCAGGACAGTACAGATTTGACACCAATTTCAGAAAATGTGTGGTCATGATCGCCCCATCCATATAACGATCCATGTTCTGCATATAAAATTAAAAACGTCACAATGTCTTGCATTTTTGTATGCATCAGCAGATATGCCAATGAAATAATAAATATTGAACATTTTTTTTTTAAATGTAAAATTAAGAAAGTGTGATTTAAATTTTCTGAATTACCATGTCTTTAAATAAACTGAAAAAGTCTGAGAAGACTTGAAGAAGTTTAGTTATGAAAATTACATCCATATATATATATATATATTTATAAACAACATAACAATTACATTAATAGTGGAGAGATAAAATTTCGGTAAATCAAAAAATTTTCCTGATTTCTGACATGTGATTGCTGTCACTACCTGACATGTGATTGCCATGACTATCAACTCAAAAAGTGTAATTTAATTCTGCTAATTCCAACTTAACACTAAAACTTTATAGAATAAATTGATTTTCTGAACACCTGTCATAAAATCAACAACACTGTCATGGTAAGAATCTACTTAGATAACTTTAACATGGAATGCTTTTACAACATGACCATGTATAAATAAACATAACAGAAATTTCACTTCTTGTAAAGCTAGTTTTTGGTATGTATACACAGATTCAAGACTTCCCAAATTGTAATATCCAACACAATGCAAAAATGTTATTCAGAAAAATTTGAAATCCCACATTGTCTACATTATTTATTTTCATGCTCCCTGAAGAAAGAGCATATAGTTGCAGCTTTGTCGGTCAGTCCATTTGTCCCCATCTGTCATAACTTTGTTCAGAGCATAACACAGAAACTATAAGAGGTAGATAGATCTAAACAAGAAAAAGTACAGTGCACTGGAACTGTCATTCTATTTTGCATTATTAGGAGTTATTGCCCTTTGTATGTATGAGCATTTAACAGTACATTATAAGCAGCAAATTCAATTGTATCACTGATCATTTTCATATTAATGTTTGGAAATTAGAAATTTTCATAATGTTAATTTAGTAGTGACTCTAGAGCACAAAGCAGTACATATGATTATTTATTGTTGATATTGTTGATGACAAGTGTTATTTGTTTAATAAAAAGGAGGTATAAGAGACATGTTCGTACAAGTACTATATATTTTTTTTTTTTTTTCCAGGAGAAAATGTACCTTATAATGTTACTGATTTTGGTAAGTAAAGTTTTGACAAATTGCCTAATTATACACTAAAAATGAATATGTTACCAGTGTAACAGAGGTCATTATTAGATGGTGGGGGGGCTATTCAAATCGCCCTGTGCCCATGGTCCGTGGTCCGTCCATCTGTAAACAATTCTTGTTACCACTATTTCTGAAAAAGTGCTGGCTGGATCTTTTTCAAATTTCATATGCAAGTTCCCCTTGGTCCCCAGTTGTGCACTGTACCTTTTTTGGGCTGATTCGAATTCAAGATGGCCGACAGGTGGCCATCTTGGAGTTTGAAAGTATAGCTCTCTATCTTTGATTTAAACAGCGAGTAATTGTTTTATGGCCATTTCTTACCTACATGATCAGTCATTCTCAAGTTCCAGATTTTCTAAATTAAGTAAACATTGATAAATACACTGTTTAGGGTATGTATACTAAACCATGCAATGAATTGCGTTAATGGCATATAGGTTGACACATGAGAAGTAACAGAAGAATTGATTTATTTTAAAAATATTGGTTTATTGATTAGTTTTGGTGTTCATAGATTTCTCAAAAATAAAGTTTTCTCCGATGTGAGACTTGTTCATTATAAATGACCTGAAAGTTATTTTAGACGAATCTGTCAGGATGCACCAAATGAAAGGTAAATTGGAGCCTTACTTACATAAGGAAAAAGCAGAGTCTAAGTCTGTTCTTAGAATGTGGATTAATCAGTGGGGTGCTGTGCATTTGGTATGGATACTGAAAGGTGTTCAAGGCAATTAAATAAAATATTGTAATAGATACAACTGGCATTAATTACAACCAAGCCAATTGTCATCAATTAGTGGTCTACTTAGGAATGAAGCTTCATTTATGTGGCTCCCTTTTATATTGTGACATAATTGTTGAACATGTCAAAAGTTTTTTCATGCATCCTCCGAAACTATAATATCATTTCCATTACACTTTCATAGCATTTGTGTCAACCTACTATACCATATGCATACCATTAGTTTTGTGAAACTGTAGCACCAACAAAGCGTTTCTGTAGCATTTGCATCCAAGATGAAACATATGAGCAAATGTGTACAAGTCTGTAAATCTGAGTGTGTTCGTCTGATATCTGGTGTTCAACTAGTGTAATCCATATGCTGTATACATCATTCACATCCTAATAAAAAAAACAGTAAAGGTTGTTATGCTCCCTGAAAATTTGCGAGGCAGCATGTAGTTGCTGCCTTGTCCATCTGTCTGTCAGTTGATCCCTTCATGTCTGGAGCAAAACGTTTTCATATACTGAAGCAGGGAGCATGAAACTTGGTGTATAAATTGGTCATACTAAGGGGATTTACAGTGTACCAAATTCAGGGTCTTAGACTCTTCCATTACAGAGTTAATGCCCTTTGATTTCATGTCCGAAACATGACTTTGCTTGCATTTAAACTAAGATAATTAAACTTAGTGTATCCATTGATCATACGAAGACAATGTGCTGTGTACCAAATTCATGGCCTGCAACCCCTTAATTACAAAGTTATTGCCCATTCTTAAAAATTCCCTGTCCATAGCAAAAGTTTGGTTGTATTTAAACTAGGATATCAAAACATGATGTATTCATCAGTCATGCAAAAGCAAGGTGCAGTGTAGCAAAGTCAGGGCCCATGACCCCCTCAATATAGAGTTCTTGCCCTTTGCTAAAAAATTGTTTTATGAGCATAGCTTTGGTTGCATTAAAACTAGGATCATGAAACTTGATGTATACATTGGTCATAATAAAAGAATGTGCAGTTTAATTACAGAATTATTGCCCTTTGTTAACAAAATGTCCAATAAAAAACATTTGACATTAGTTTCATTAATACTCTTGTTTTTTCTACTTTACAGTCAGTGTTTCCCATTCCCTCAGATATGTTGGTCCTGACATCCTCGTCAAACTGTACAAACCTTGGGTTTCCAGGGGCAGTACCACACATAAACGATACAGCGTTTCTGAAAGGACACGGAAATTGCTGTATACCCAGAAGAGAACATGGAGGTATGTATGTTCTAACTGGGCAGCAGAGAAGGACAATATGAAACAAGCTGATAAAAATGTAGTACACATCAGTAAAATTTTTGTTTAGTAATACATAATAGTACAGTTATATAGAAGACTTATTGGTGAATACAGAAGGTGGGTATTACAGGGTTATGTTGATGAAAGCTTTTGTGTATTCATTTTATAGGATTTATGGAATTGTGTCTGAAAAATGGAGAAAAGGATACCTGGCATGCATGTCCTGAAGGGACCTATAACCCTTACAACATATCGTCAGAACATGTATTCAATCTTGATGAGTTATCATCCAAAGAGCTGTGCAAGCCGTATGCTTCTCTGCCACCAAAGGAAGGTGGCAAAGGTATGGTCATTAATCTGTTTTAGTGTTGCCCAATATTTTGGTGCACCTGAGTTTTCTTAAGTATCTGAAGCATTCTCATTGGTAGGGAAATCAGTGTTGTATACACAGTGGTTTTCTCGACCCACTGGAGCCTGAAGTTCGGGACCCAATGTGGGAAAAAGAGAAAAAAATTCAAAATCTTACTTCTACTGTAGCAATGAATGGATTTTGCCAAAATTTGGTTTGAGGCATTCTTTGGTGAAGGGGAATCAATTTTGTATAATGGTTGAATCTCGGCCCCTGTGGTGGGAGAGGAGGGACCCAATGGGGGAAATAGTGAACATTCTTTAAAATCTTATTCCGCCAATAGTAAAGATTGGATCCAAATTTGGGGAAATAGTGAAAATTCTTTTTATATAAAGGATATTCCGCCAATAGTAAAGATTGGATTTTACCCAAATTTGGTCTGAGGCATTCTTCGGTGAAGGGAAATTGATTTTTATATAAAGGATGAGTCTTGGCCCCCTGAGGCGGGAGTTGAGAAACTCCATAGGGGAAATGGAACAGTTTCTTTTAAATCTTAACCCCAGGTAGGAAAGATTGGATTTTACCCAAATTTGATCTGAAGTACTTGTTGGTGAATGGTTGTCCAAATTTAGTCTGAAGCATCCTTCAGTGAAAGAAACTTGATTTTTACACAGATACAGGCCCTTTGAGCATCTTGTTAAATTTTATTTAATCAAGTGCAAAAAGAGAGAAAAGAAGGGAAAAGATCCAACTTTTAAAGAACATATAAAGATCAAACAATGACGAGTGCCAAGATCCATCTGGGACCTCTTGTTTGTTTTAAACATCACTGTGACAAGATAAGGGGCTTATTTTGTATGAATTAAGTACTTTTGAATGTATATGGATGTGTGGGTATTACAGTCTATGTTCAATATTTTGAGATTAATATACACAGATGAATCAAGATGTAGTAAGTAAATTAACAAATATGTCTGTTACTTCTTGAATCAGTTCTAAGGTCCTGTTCTGATACCTCCTGTATTACATCTAGAAAATTACCGAATTATCAAGTGTCTTTACCGTTGATGATATGCTTAATTTTCTTTTTTCTGTAGCGGATTTATGGTAAGGAGATTTGTCTTCCTTTGGTATACAGGTGATAAGTCCTTGTCTTTGTGTTATAGAAAGTTCATTTACAGAGTATCCAAAATTCAGTGACCTAACAATAAAAGTACTTAAATACTTCCAAAAACATTTTTAAAATTCTGTGGTGAATCCATCAGAGCCAGGGCTTTTATTCTTCATTTTCCTGAGGTTTTTCCCTGATTCTTCATGTGTAATGATACTTTCTAGTGATTCTGATTCTCTATTGTCTAATTTAAGAACATTGAAGTCACTCATAAAAAAGTTAACATCAAATACATTATCAGAGACACCATTTATTTTTCATGAAAATCTTGAACTTTGTTTAAAATAGCAAGCTGATCACATTATCTTTCTGTGCTTTTGTGATGATTTTTGACATATAGTTTCTGTTTTCTAAACCGACAATGTATGATGTGGGTTTCTCACCTTCCTATGCCCATTTTGCCCTAGATCTGATAATATTGTCTTGTATTTTATGTAACTTCATTGTCTCTAATTCTATTCTCTTATTTGTCAGTTCATGTATGTCAGTGTTGTCACTGTCTTCTAATTTTTGTGTAACTTTCTTAAGATTCTCTTCTGTAATGTTCTGTGTTTTCTGCAGATGACTAGAAAAAGAGACAGTTTTCCCCCTAATTTTCATCAATAAAACATCTAAAAACAATTGATCATTAATAATAAATTGCAAATCTGAATCTGCCATTTTTAGAATAGAATCTAAATTGTAAACAGGTAAACAATATCTTACTTTCATATTGTGGTGATTGTATATAATAATCTGCAGACAACTTGCCCCATTAGTACAAGTTGACAGTTAGTTGTATGTCAACTCGCCCCAAAGGTGTTGTGCAACAGTGCATGCAACACACCGCCAGTTCGTGTTCAGTCATACCTACGATACAGATGTGCTTTCACGTTCTAGGTCTGACAACGAACTTGTTGCCGATTACGGCCTTTGTATTCTATGACTATATATACCCTTAGTGTATCCCACATTCCCTTATCTTACGACATATCTTCAGTACAGGTCTTCACCATTTCCAGATATTCCAAATCATTTAAAAGTGAATGTGTAAATTGTGTACATGCTGGGTCATGAACTCCTTGCAGAGGATGATGCATCCCAATAGAGATAATAAGCAAATTCTTGAAAACTTGTTTTGTATGAATTCCTTGATTCTGAATTTTTCTGAAGCATCCTTGGTTGAAGGGATATCAATTTTGCATTTTGGGCCATTTTGGGAGAGGTGTTTTCCGTTCATTAAGATTCTCCTCCTTTTCTAGAAATACCTTGATTTTGTTCTGATGTGATCTAAAACATTCTTTGGTGAAGGGGAATAAATTTTGAATAAAGAGTGGGCCTGTCCCCCAAGGGGCAGGCTCAATGGAAAATTAGATACAAGTCATTGAAATGTCCTGCCTTTTTGGTTGGATAAAGCATTTTCAAGCAGTAGTCTCCCCTACAGAAAGTTAGTATTAGTTAGTAAGTTGGAGTAGTCTCCCCTACAGAAAGTTAGTATGTTAGAGTAGTCTCCCCTAATTCACCATTTCAAATTCCATACTTCTCATTAAGTGACAAGGTCTTTTTTCCAAGATTTTTACTAAAAGGTATTGAAAGTGTTTTCATTTCTTTTATGAAAACGCTAAGTGTTGCCAATATGATCAACTATAATTGAAAAAGCACAAAAATCTGAGAAGGAATTGTGAGATGTCTCAATTTTCATATTTTATTACAGTGATCTGTCTCCGAGATTCAGTTTCCTATCAAAAAGACATGTTAAATGCTTTTCACTTTTGAAAAATGTTTAATATTTAAATATTATATAAGGTATAGATAATATATAATCATTGAAAATATTGTCAAAATTTCAACCTTTTTAAAATTTTTTTACTAAGTTGCCAAGAGAAGATTGGATCTGCAAACTATCTGGATATGATCAAGGCAGTTTTAATTTGAGGACTTTGTCACTTACCATGAGTTTATAGAAGTCGATAAGATCATTCACAGTTTTGACCACGTGTTCATGTTTGTCACAGGCATGATGTAGGCATGACATAGGCATGACATATGCACGACATACATGCTTATAATTTTTAATGTTAACCATCACAAGCATGGAGTTATCAACTCACTAGATGTGATAGAGCATCACTATTCACTGTGTTAAGCAATCTACATTTGTTTAAGATAAATTATTGAGACAAAGTTAAAAACTAAAGCAGAAAATCAAGTGGAGAACAAATTATCTGATGTCACAAAATTCACTGAACCTCTTATTTCAAAAACTTTTTACTATCATCATTGTTGGAAGTTATATATCTGGCAGTAAAAAGAGAGCCATATAAATTCATTGAATGCCTTTCATCTTTGTTCATGACACTGTACAAGCATTCTTATGAAGTTATTTTAAAACCAGCAAATCTTCAATTTTTAACAGTATGTCGACTAAACTCTTGATCATTCTTGATTCTATTTATAGATTTTGTTATCATGTGATTTGTTGTTTGTTTCATGAATACAGATGAATGAATGATTCCTGGTTATGTATATATATATATCTTCGGGTGGATAAAGTGGGACAATGCAAAGTCTCTTTTTCAATTAAACACCTTACTTAAGCAGATTTAAACTTCAAGAGGCGGAGGGGGATACTGAGAGAAAATTATCTCATCATCCCATTTTTATCACATATACAATATGTGTTAAATTGTTGAATGTGGAGTAAAAATGTTGTCTAAACTGAACTAACTCCTTTTATGTAGCATTTGGTTACAGTATAGTAATTTTCAAGCCATGGCATATCCATGACATATCCAATAGCTCACTTACTTAGAGAGTTGGTCTAAGTAATGTCACATGAAGATATGCTGATATGATTGTGTCCTTGGAGAAGACTCTTAACCTTTGTTGTTCTGAACAGCAAGGGACAGGTCTCCTGTATGTTGTTCAATCCAGTTGGGTAGCACCAGCTTTTATAAAGAGACTCAGTCACAAATGACCCAGGCTGTTCACAGGTCAATTTTAAAAAACCTAAAAGATCAGATTAGATTTTGATTGTCATCAGCCAAGGCTTAAGGTCACCCTTGATATCATCAGTCAAGGCTAAAGGTCACCCTTGATGTCATCAGTCAAGGCTTAAGGTCACCCTTGATGTCATCAGTCAAGGCTAAAGGTCACCCTTGATATCATCAGTCAAGGCTAAAGGTCACCCTTGATGTCATCAGTCAAGGCTTAAGGTCACCCTTGATGTCATCAGTCAAGGCTAAAGGTCACCCTTGATATCATCAGTCAAGGCTAAAGGTCACCCTTGATGTCATCAGTCAAGGCTTAAGGTCACCCTTGATGTCATCAGTCAAGGCTTAAGGTCACCTTTGATGTCATCAGCCAAGGCTTAAGGTCATCCTTGATGTCATCAGTCAAGGCTTAAGGTCACCCTTGATGTCATCAGTCAAGGCTAAAGGTCACCCTTGATATCATCAGTCAAGGCTAAAGGTCACCCTTGATGTCATCAGTCAAGGCTTAAGGTCACCCTTGATGTCATCAGTCAAGGCTAAAGGTCACCCTTGATATCATCAGTCAAGGCTAAAGGTCACCCTTGATGTCATCAGTCAAGGCTTAAGGTCACCCTTGATGTCATCAGTCAAGGCTTAAGGTCACCTTTGATGTCATCAGCCAAGGCTTAAGGTCATCCTTGATGTCATCAGTCAAGGCTGAAGGTCACCCTTGATATCATCAGTCAAGGCTAAAGGTCACCCTTGATGTCATCAGTCAAGGCTTAAGGTCATCCTTGATATCATCAGTCAAGGCTTAAGGTCACCCTTGATGTCACCAGTCAAGGCTTAACGTCACCCTTAATATCATCAGTCAAGGCTTAAGGTCACCCTTGATGTCATCAGTCAAGGATTAAGGTCACCCTTGACCATTTTTGTGATAAAAGCTTGTGTATTAAATTGAAAATAAAAAAAGGTGAAGGAATGGAAAGAACATCTAAGTGAGCGCTTGTTCATGTTGTGCGATAATAAAGATTGACTGCTGTCAGGAATATACACAATGAGTTATGTAATGATGGATTCATTTAACAGTGTTATGACTTGGACTTTCTTTTCAGATAAAACAGAAACCAGGCTCAATCTATCCGAAGAGGGAACGTCTGGTTTTAATTCCTCTCTGGTGACTCGGGTCACAAAGCAAAGATCATCTATTAGCAGTACCAATATTGACATTTCTGAGGGTATGTACACCAATTACACTATGTAGAAGATCTTTTGTGTGTTGCATTTTCTTAACAATTTATATTTAGTTCAACTCAAACCTTACTCTTAGATTAGTACTTTTTGCAAAAGAGATATTGCTCAAAAATAGGATTGTGCAATTTATAAAGAACAGTTGCTGATTTTTATATTCATTGTACATATTTTAAAGCAGCTATTACCTTAGATTTTAACATCAGGAAATGGAGAATTTGAATAATGAAATATATCCATAATAGAGCGATACACGCGCCTATAACATCAATTTGTTGTTTTTGTACATATTTTTGCCGTCTGAACATCATTTATCTTGACTATTGTTTATAAACATGTTCATGCTCGGTTTATTACAAAGAAAGCCGAGTGGGTCACATAGCTTGTTACGTGACAAAGTCATTTACTTCCGCCGCTAAACTAGTGGGGCCCCAAATGGGATAATTACAATCAGGAAAAAAAACTCATTGTGCAAAAATGTACAGGAATCGATACTTTGTCTGTACACATTAATAGATATTGTTTACCATTCAACATGTGTCTATGTGTTTATTATAAAGGTTATGTTTATCACCACAGTCGTTATTCTCACAGTAACACAAGTCCCGTCATATTTTTACACTTAAAACAAATACCTCCAATTGGGCCCCACCTTGCAGTCAACATCAAACACACGTTGTTGATAGTAAATTCAAGCGATTAACACAACTATTTTCATTCAACATTTATCAGATAACACTTTTAGTAGTGTTGTTCATAACATCTTCACACATCAAACACCAGATATTGGATTATAATCAATGACAGGCGGAGACATTATAATTATAGGGCTGACGTTAAGCTAACCAGTCAAGCAGCAGCTTCGCAAATTCCGAATTTGTATTCAGTCCAAGATCCTCCTTCATCTTTGACCATCTGTTGATCTCCTTTCTATTATAAATTCCTGTCTGTCCTCTTTTCTGGGGCTGAAAATGGTAAAAATGCCTCCACTTGCATAATGTGCGCACCTGAAAATTCAGTTAAAATCAATCCTGGAATGTTCAACTAACACGTCAGATCAACGGCATAAAGTCCAAAAGTATTCCCTTCAAAATCTGTTTTCATCTCATTTGGTGTATGTCTTTTTGAAGATTTCAGATTTGAATTTTACCTGTTATGTATGCTATACATTGTGTCACTGATACTCTTGTTTATTTTAGTCAGTCTTTTGCCAGCTAAAATGAAATTTCTGATGACTTTAGTAAATCACTAATCAACTGAAAACAAATATTTATGAAAGAAAGTACCAACTTTTCCAAGTCATTTTGGTTCTATATCAAAGGTCTCCAATACTTAGTTCACATTGCCACCTATAAAAGATGTGATATCAATTCATTTTCTAAATATATCACAATAGGTCACTGCCAGTAGTTTACCTGGTCCAAGGTTATAATATACCGTAACCTCTGTCATCTATCCATTGTCCATCAACAATTTATTTAAACAGTACTAGTCATGAACGACTGATCAGATTTCAACCAATTTTGGTAGGAAGCATCCTCAGGGGAAGCAGAATTAATTTTGTATTAAAGTGGCTCGCAACTTACTGAGGTCCTGAGGGACTGTGCCCAATATGGGATATAGAGAAAATTCTTTAAAATCCTTCTTCATCTGTATGACTGACTGGATTCTGTCCCAATTTGATCTGAAACATTTTAGGGTAAATGACTCCTTTGTATCAATGGTTATATCAACCCTCATTGGGCAGAAAAGCTGAGACTAATTGGAAAATATTTCTGTATATGTAGATTTCCTTTTCCTTAGGTTTTGATTAAGCAATCTCAGCAAAATCCAGGTGAGTGATACAGGCCCTATGGGCCTCTTGTGTTACACCAAAGTTAATCATAAAAATATTACTTGGGTATATTCACTAAAAAATGAAGGAATATTGTGATAAAAATAGGTTTGTAAATGAGTTTTTATGAGATTATATGAAATGGTTCTTAGAAGCTATAATTAAAATGACCTTTGTTTTAGAAGTACAATACAATTATATGTGACTATATAATTATGATATGTTGTCAGTAAATCTGTCATGAAGCCAGCATTGCATCCCTGACTGACAGCTGACATGTCAGTGTGAGATTGCCTTGTATCATCTACTAGAATGAGATGACATCATAGTAACAAGTCATTGACCTTACGTCAACAACTAAATCACTTCAAAAAAGTTCTCGGACAACAAGAACACATAGAAGTACCTATTAAAGTCAGCAGGGTAGGAGAAAAGTAATCTTTCACATTTGTTTCACGTTTTTGGTGAAAGAGGGTGATATCAACCTTTGTGAAATGATGCTCAAGTTACTCACACTCAGCAAGCCTTGTGTTTGCCGTTGAGTTGAGATCCATCTGTCTCACCAAACACAGCATGAAAGATTCTATCATACCTTGACCATAGGAGGTAATATTTCTGGCTGAAGGGGTAGAAATTTGACACAGGAACATTACAATAGGTTTGGAGAAAGTTAAATCAGTGATATCATCTTTTCTTTTTTGTAGTGGAGCCAAACATAACCTGCCTTGAAGTGTTTGCCACACCAGGAGATGAAAGGGCATTTCTCAATTGTACAGTCACTTCTCTTAATATTTCCTGTAAAAAGGTGGTTTTGAAGTCAGCATCAGGCACACAGGTGTTTGAATATGGAAAACAACTTCCTGATGGCTACCACCTTTCCTGTATGGTATGTTGTTTTGCACATCTTTCTTTTAATGGTGTATTTCACCAAAGAAGTTTTGAATGGAATAAACATTTCTTCAGCTTAATCTTTTCTGTTCAAGTATTTTCTACCACAAGACGCATGGTACTGATATTAGGCCTGTAGCATGCTGAGATGATTGGCTACCAAGCATGTTCAAATGAATGACTTTAAAAGTAAAAAAAGTCAAATTTTATAAAATCTTTCAACAAGTTTTTTCAGAAAACTTATTATTATTGGGTTCAAATGAATGACCTTAACCCTCATGCAAGGTCATAGTTGTCAATTATATTAATATTTTCAAGTTACTTTTCAATAGCCGAAAGATGAAGTGTACTGATGTTGGGCTTGTAGCATGCTGAGATTAAATGCTATCACTTTTGTTTAAATGAGTGACCTAAACAATTTTCTCTTTCAAAGTCACAGAGGAAACAAATTAGGACTCAAAACCAGCTGAAAACTCAATAACCAATTATTCCTGGGCTTTCAAGTCCGTAGAAATTGAGTTGTAGAGAAGGCAGGGCATTCAGGCACACTGGGCCCAATTTTTGCATTTTTTTGGGGGGGGGGAATAATTCTAAAGGTGTCTTAAAACTGACAGTTCAAGTTAAAAAGAATTAATTCTGATAAAAAAAAAACAGAGTTTCTGTTTCCCAAATGCTTTGAAGATGATAGTGATATCTTCCTGTTGGAATATCTGAGGAATTGGTACACATTTTAGTCCAAGACTTGCTTGGAAAAGAGCATGGGCATCCTAGGGTATAGAAGGCCTGCAACCTGTCCAACTGGTTATTGTTTTTCAACATAAGCGCAATATGACTGACTACATTACATTTACTTACTGTTGTTTTGTCTTAACATCTATATGGTGTTTGCTCAACCCTTATACTCTCACTTTTTCATATAGTTTTGGCATAGTTCTTTATCTTATAAAGGAATTGAGCATGTCAACATCTGGTGTTAAAACATTTATTTTGACCTTGGATGTCAATCAATGAAGATCAAAATCTGTTGGACAAACTCATCCATTACCACATTGCATCAGAGGGTGACTATTTTCTGTCAGGAAAAATTACTAAATTTTTGTGGTTCAGAGCAGGATCAATACCTTTTGGAAAGGAAACTCCATTTATATATAGACCTCTGCAGTCATACACAACAATGTGCAATAATTGATTTCACTTGAAAACAGATCAATAATTGTTTTATTATATGACAACTATCCATGGTTCTATTCGGTCAAAAATTGCAGCACAGGTTACTAAATTGTTATATTCACCTGTGAGATGTGTGATGGTGTTTTCTGCACATGGATTCTGCCTGTATTGATCCTATGAGAGGTGTTTTGATCAATCAATGTGTAGGAAACATGACTATTATAAATGGGGTAACATCATTCTCAGGTGACTCTTGTTATAGTTATCAGTGAGGAATTAACGTTCTTATTATTTTTACAGAAAAGTGAGAGGAACGAAGTACAGATAGGCCTGGAAATTCCTGGTATAACAGATGAACATTTGGAAGATGCATTCTTCATCAAAGTGACAACTATCAATGGAGATTTCCAGAAAGAAATCAAAATCGAAAGTAAGTACATGTATCGGTATAGGTTGAAAGGATTCAACTAAAATCAGTTTAGTTTAGGTTATTTCATGACTTTCAGTCAATATGGCCAAAAGGTATTTGGCTGTTCAAATCGCTTTCCCTCCATCATACATCACACTGTACTTCATCAGTCTATAAACGGTCCTTCTTATTTCTGTTGCCAGATATAATTGTTATGTAATTTCAATTTTATCCAGATGTTTGAATTGTCAGAAAGATGATGTTCCCAACTTTTATGTACAATAACTATCTATTATGTAAGATTGAATATAAGCTTATTGGTTGGAAAAAATTTAAGGGCCTGTATTGATCACTATAAGGTATACTTCCAAGAAGATACCACTATTTAGAATAAGTAGAGTGTTGGTTCTCCAACCTGGCTCAAAGGGAAAGAAATCAAACTGAAGCTTTTTTCCCATCAAAGATGTATGTATGTGTTTAATATTGTTGAATTTTCAGATTTTATTGAAAAAATAATTTTAAATGATACATATTAGTGGGTTCAATTTTGTTTATCAATCATGACAAGCAACAAAATAAAAACTTAGTCCTTTGATATGGTATGTAATCTACCATGGCTTATTCTTACATGTCTTTTTATGTTTGTTTGTTGTAGGGTCACCAAATTCCAATCACGGCCAGACACTGACAGCCACTGATATTGTGCCGTTTGCAGTGACTCTCATTTCTATCATCATCATCAAGATGACTTAATTATTATCTTGGTGGAGATTGATCAGTTTTTGCCATCATGATTTGTCTGTCGTCGTGCGTCGTTAACTTTTCACATATTCGACTTCTTCTCAAGAACCACTGAATAGATTTTGACCAAACTTGGCACAAAGCATGGAAGATAAATAGTAATTCAACGCCATATAGATGGGGGGCTAAAATGATAGATGTAGGAGCTTTTATGGATTCTCTTAAATTAGGATGGATTAGAAGAATCACTCAGTCATCAGGAAAATGGAAAGTTCTATTGAATTCTTTTGTAGAGGTAAAAAAATTGTTTCATTGCGGAAAGGAGTATGTTAAGTCATGTAGTAACAATTGTAGCAATATATTCTGGAAAGATGTTTTTAAAAGTTGGGTTAGATTGAATAATTCCTTTCCTATGAGGCAAAGTAAGCCTGAATCAATTTTAAAAACGCCTTTATGGTATAATAATGACATTCATGTGGGCAATAGATATGTCTTCTATCCAGTAAGGTTTAATGCTGGTATATATACCATCAATGACCTAATGAAAAATTCTGATCATTTGACATTTTTCTCCTTTGATGAGTTTCTTCATAAATTTGTAATCGATACCAACTATTTACAGCCGTCAAGTGTTTCTTGAGAAAACATGACTTCCATCCATTAGGACTATTTCAGCCTTTTATACCACTTCTATGGGAAATTTTTTATAAAAGTCAAAAAGATGCCAAAGACTTCTACAATACTATTGTTAAACCAGCACCAACCCCTACTGGTATTCGAAAATCGAGTGATGAGTTTGACTTTGATGATCAGAAGTGGAAAAATATATTAATAATTCCGTTTACTATTACAAAAAGTTCTAAGCTACACTGGTTACAAGTAAGGATTATACATCACATTCTGGTTACAAACTCCTTTCTTTTCAATATTAATTTAATACCTAGCCCTTTATGTACATTATGTAATATGGAAAGAGAAACTATTGTTCACTGTCTATGGGAGTGTATAGAGGTACAGACTCTATTGGGGAGATTTGAATCTCTTCTTGATATTCTTCTGATTCCTTTCTGGATAAAGAAAGAAACATATTTATTTGGAAATATCCATCCTAATGCTAACACTGTAGATTATGAAATTTTAATTATCATTAAACACTATGTTTATATGTCAAGATGTCTACGAAAATCTCTTAATTTAAATGCTCTTATAAATAAGATTAAGGATCATTTCCATGTTCAAAAGTACAACATTTCCAGCAAAAACACTATTAGGAAAAACAAATTTTGAGAATAATTGGAAAAAATGAATGCCAATTTTGGAACTATAATATGTATGCTAACAAGTCTGTTCCCAATGGCCATGGCCTTGACGTTACCAAACTGACTTTAAATTTATTGAATTTCCACAAAATTAGTGCTATTTTTATTTAATAATGATTATAACCCTCCCAATTCTCTCTCTCTTTCCCTCTCATTTTGTTAAGTACATGTAAGTTTGCTATGTAAGTGGGTGTGAATGTTTGATGAGTGAGTTTGTGTGCAGTAAGTAGTAGATACATGTGCATGATGACATATTCAAGTAAGAGCATACAAGTGTGAGAGTGTGGGTGTATGTTTTTGTGTGGTTTCTTTTGTATATTGTGTATTGTGTAATTTATAAAAAAAATAAAAATTACAAAAAAAAGTGGTCTTAAAACTGAGGTTTCACTGTACCTCCCTTTCCACTTTATGTGAAAGACCAAAGACTAGTTAGTTCCCCTCTGATAACTACTCAGAAATGAAACAGGTCAGGATCTATCATCCTGGAAGCCATGATCTCTTTCAGTCTTATAAAGTGTAACTACAGGCAGTTTATTGATAACAATGATTACTGATACAAAAAGCTTGGCCCAACATTAAATCATAGGAATCAGTCTTTAGCTCAAGGTACAAAACAGGAAACAATGTATTTGATTGTTTTCTCTGATGTTTACTGGGGAATTGAAAAGTCTGTTGAAGGAAATACTTCATCCTTACAGGATAGCATAAAATCTTGTATTTTATCTTTGAAAGTTTGTTATTGATATTTCTTGAGAAGAACTTAATGAGTCTTTCTCAAATTTCATGTGTAAGTTCCTTTTGGTCACTAGTTGTGCCCACCTCTTCAGGAAAACAAGATGGCTGACAGACAACTATCTTGTATTTTAACTTTGAAAGTTTGTTATCGCTCTTTCTTAAGAAGTTCTGGATGGATCTCTCACAAATTTCACATGTAAGTTCCCCTTCTTCCCTAGTTGTGCCCATTTAACTTTTGGTCCGATCAGAAAAACAAAATGGCGGAAAGGCAGCCATGTTGGATTTTGACTTTAAAAGATTGTTATTGCTATTTCTTGAGAAGTACCTCATAGATCTTTCTTAGATTTCATAAGTATGTTCCCCTTGGTCCTTTGTTATTCTAGTTGGATTTTGGGACTGATCAGAAAAAAAGTGGGCGGCAGACAGACATCTTAGTTTTTAACTTTGAACGTTTTTTATTGCTATTTCTTAATAACAACATCATAGATCTTTCTGTAATTTCATGTGTATGATTTTATATATAGGGTTTATTAGGTCCCTAGTTGTGCCTATTTGAGTTTAGGAGTGATCAGAAAAACAAAATTGCTGACAGACAGCCATCTTGGATTTTGCCTTGTAAAGATTTTTATTACTCTTTCTTACAAAAGTACTGAATAGATATCTCTCAAATGTCGTACATATTTTCCTTTGGTCTCTCTTTGTGGTAGTTTGCTTTTGACCAGAAGGAAGAAACTGGCTTCCGGGTGGCCATTTTGGATTTGGAAGGTGAAGATTATCATCACTATTCTGCAAAGGATTGTTCAAATGTCTTATCATTAAGAGAAAAATCAGAGAAGAGAAGGGTAAAGAAGGGAAAAGATCCAACTTTCAAAGATCAAACAATGGTGGGCGCCAAGATCCCCCTAGGATCTCTTGTTATTATTGAACAGAATCTCCAGTTGGCATTCATATCCTGTTTTAGAAAATATGCATTGTTGTATACATATTACAATAGTTGTGTTGTCATCTTTTATACTAATATTTCCCCTTAATATGACTTTTCATAATCCCTCCTTTTTCATTGTCGGAGGCATAGAGTGTTTGTTACCCTTAGTCTTCACTCATCTTGATTTCATTTCCTCTTATCTGCCCTTAATAGATATAAATGTAGAACTACATATAACCGTATGATAATGATGAGCAGGTCAAGCTGTGTTTTTGTAATGGTCAAACTACTTTTTCCACAGTGTTCAGGACCTTCAACTGAAAGAATTTTAATTATTCAATTCACAAAAACAGTTATATTAAACTTGGAAAGCCTTGCCTGATTCCAGTGGGTATTGATAAAAAAATTCAAGGAAAAATTGTAAATGACATTAGGGATACAATTGTACAATGTATGTAACTTCTTCAATAAACTTTGAAGTGCTCCTTGGTTACCTTGGATCATTCTCGAACATCTTGTTAATAATTAGTTCACAGTTTCATATCTTGGATGAGAAAATGAGTGAAAATCATAAGTTTTGATAGTTTTTACAAATTAGACCAATAAGATCACAGTATTTGTAGTGAATGAACCCCTAAGGAAAGACAACTCTTGACGGAGAGTTTTGACATCACTGCTCTACAGGTGTCGCAATAATCACCACTTGCAGTCAAAAACAAAGTCACAGTAAATATAAATGACCATTGCTGTCAATTAAGCTTCAGCAAATTCATTCAGTTTGCAAGTTACTTTGATACCAGCATGAAACTAAAATACATTCATATCAAAGCATATAATAAATTTCTCTGATAGGTTCCAAAAACTATTAATTTATGACGGTGGGGAGTGGGAGAATTGTAACATGATTAGCTCTCATAGCTGAACCTGATACAACAGATGTGACCAATGTTTTCTTGCTTTCTCGCCTATTTCACACATATAAAAAACATTTCCATCATGTAAGCCGAAAACCATCTTTTAATCGTATTTCAGACACAAAAGTTGTAAGCAGAGAACATTTATTTTTGCAACATGATATTGCATTCAGCCTGAAATTTAAAATGTGTGGAAAAAATTAAAAGACAATTTCAATTTCCTTGCTAACAAATCCTTTCATCCTTATTCATTGTTGATTTTTTTTCTGTACGTTTAACGCTATTTAAAGATTCCATGTTGTTGTAGTCTGGTGGTCCTCACACACTAGATCTTTATGTATAATATATGATAATGTATTATGTATAATGATAAACACATATCCCATTCACATAAAAACACGAGTTCAGAGAGGCCATTACAAGGCGGCATCTTGTCATGGACTCCTCCAATCATTATTAAATGAGCAGGAAAAGAGGAAACTGATGAAGTCAGAAAGCAGTTTTTTACACAATGAACGAACAATGAATAATTAGAAATCGACCATTTTTTTTATCCATTTCTCAACACGCTGCGTTTCATAGCGGTGGCTTACCAGTAAGATTAAGGCACTATGACCTTTAACCTGCCTACCCTGGGTACTTTGACCATACAATTTTACTTAACATTTCAACATTCTCTTCTACATAAATGTAACAATTTAGACATGAATTATACACTTGATTTTTAACCTCACCTGGACCGAAGGGCTTAGTGAACTTATGGCTGATACAACGATGTCGGTCATCCATCTGTCTGTGGTCCAACCATCAACTTTTTAGCCCACCATCATGAGTTCAAGAGTGTATGCGGTGGAGATTGTTACACAAAACTGATTGTATTTGTATGTTTCATTTCTAAATCAAAACAACACACATTCTACAGCGCTGGTAGGTTTTGGCCCCTGGGGCCAACTAGGGGAAATAGAGCAATTCTTCAAAACCATACTCCTCCTGTGGGAGTTATAGGAATCTCAGAGGGTAGGGGTCCAATAGGGGAAATAGAATAAATTCTTTGTATCCTACTACTCTATTAGGAATGATTAGACACGGTCCAAACTTTTTGGTCAGAGGTATTCTTGGATGAAAGGAACAAAGTTTGTGTAAGGATTGGTTCTCAGTTCCCTGGTGGCCTTAGAAGCGGGCCAAATAAGGAAATTTTACAATTTTGTAAAGAATAAATGGATACTGTCCAAATTTGGTCTGAAGGATTCTTGTATGAAGGGTACTAAGTTCTGTATAAACGGTGCATCCAGGCCCCCAGTAAGGGTGTTTCCTAAACAGCAATTTTTGCCATATTGACAAGGTGTTTTTTCTGAAAATAGTAACAGTGAACTTCATCAAGGAACTTCCACCCTGAAACCCAAACTCATTCATGATATTAAGGACCTTTATGTAAATGTGAAGTTTTATCTAAATCCCTCGAGAAACGAAGCTGCAACAGCACAAGGATTTTCAAAGATTAGCAACAATGACCTTGCCCTACGGCATCCCTTAACTGGAACTTGTCAGAGATAGTAAAGTCCTTTCAGAGTGTAAATTTGAAATTTGTATTTACATTCCGCAAGAAACGAAGTGCTTACGATGCTTTTCTTTAAAAACAAAAGACAGTGACCTTGATCCTGACCCGAACTATACGTGTGTAACATTGATAAAATATCCTTTTAGAACTAAAGCTGCCAGATTTTCCACAAATAGTAACGGTGAATTTGGAATTTGGATTTGTAACCAATGACTTAAGACCACAGGTTTTTAAAATACTAGATTGTAAGTTTTATTGTTTAAGTGGTATATATTTGATATCGGATTAACGAAAATTACGAAACGTGTCTTACGTGTCTCTTTCGGGGAAAAACCACATGGACGGCTAGGTGGTGTAGTTTCACGTGAAGTTGGCTTCAGTGAGACTAAGGGACAGCGGTTTTTATTTTAAACTTAAATAAAGCTTATGGTCAGTTATTTAGTATGGTATGTATGAATATATGGCTAAAAGACCTCTTAAAGTGACAAAAATAGCATATTCTTTAAATATTAAAAAGGTTTTATGGAAAGTTCGTGATATGTATTTTCACAGTATGTACCGTTCCCTGTAGTTTTAATACAGAGATTCAAATCCTTACTTTCATCACTTCAGTCCCCTAGATTCACTGACGAAACCTAGAAGGACGAAACATTTGTATGACTGAGTTTTTATGCTATACAGCATCCAATTCTACTGAATTAAATCGCTCGATGAAGGTGATCAAACGTTATACAGGGACGCGAATCAAAGTTGTTGTTTGTTCCATTTTCCCAAACTTGTATAGCATATACCACATATGTATAGTTAAAAAAAATCAAATCAACACGATTCCGCTAACGTTTTCAGGCCTAATGGCCATCTTCAGGCGATACATAATTTGATTTTTTTTTCAACTATTTAATCGATAAACAAAGCATCTTTAAGTTACATCTATATATATGTATATATATATAAACATATACAATGTATATCAAAAGTCAGTGCCTCCCGCCCCCGAAGTCCAACCACTACTTTAAAACAGAAACAATGGTGAGTACGAAAATTGGTTATAAGTTGAAATAAGTAGCAGTGTGTCAGTGTTCCTGCTGAAACTCAAATCCTTCAGCTTCTGATTTATTTTAATGACTATTTATAGATTCTAAAGTTTTTGTTATCCAAATCTTTCAATAAGTGTTCCTATTCACGTAAAACATTGGATGGTCATATATAAATTGTCAACTTTGATCAATTAACGGCCACCTGCTTGTGCGGTTCTTCTGCTAGAGTTTGGCATAGGTGTTGACATGGCAACCATACAGGTGGCGTTCCAATCTGTAGTCTGATTGGTCGTTTTGTTCTCCGTACGCGACTGCATACGCTGTTAGGGCGCGTGGGGTACGCGCACAGGGCGAGACATACGTTCGACAGGTGAAGGAATTTTACCATTCTGAGACAGTGCTGTGAAGGGCGGCGTACCGATACAATGGAAGTGCCATATGATACCAAACGAAACAGTATCGATTAATTCACGACATGGTTAAAGATTGCTATTTACGGATGAAGTCGCGTGCCGTGTTTCCTTTGATATGGATCATCGAGATTCCCTCACTCTGCAATTTCCGTTGAAAGTCATTCAAGCGGGATGTCGTGAATTGGGGACGTTTTAGTACAGGGAATAAAGCCATGTGTCCTGTTCATTTGTCATGGTGCACGACTGAAACAGACATGACCCGCATGAATGCATTTTTTGGTGAAAACATCTGCTCTTTACATCCCGTGTAATGTTATGTGAGATTACGACAGAATAATGATGAAGTTGTTGAAACGGTTCCGGCATTGACAGACTAAAGATGATATCAGATTTCCCGTACAAATTTCTTTTTCTTTTTTACAAAATAATTTACTAGATATCTGATTAATTTTCAACTCCGAACGCAATTTTATTTGAGTAATTTTATGATAACACTATTTAGCTGAAGGAAAGAAAAATATCTTCGTGTTCTATCGTGCGGAGTAATAGAAAACATATTTACATTCATGATTTATAATTGTAAGACAATCCTATAAATGCCGACGTCTACCATTCACTAAACGTATACATAGCAACATGTACATGGTAGGTACATGGTGCATGTCGTTTGTATATGTTATGTTTAACCATTACATGGTAGACGTCTGTTGTACGTGACGTGTTTGTCAAGTATATGGTAGATATCTGTTGTACGTGACGTGTTTGTCAGGTATATGGTAGATATCTGTTGTACATGGTGTGTTTGTCAGGTATATGGTAGATGACTTGAACATGGTGTATTTTTCAGGTATATGGTAGATGTCTGTTGTACGTAACGTGTTTGTCAAGTATATGGTAGACGTCTGTTGTACATGACGTGTTTGTCAGGTATATGGTAGACGTCTGTTGTACATGGTGTGTTTGTCAGGTATATGGTAGATGACTTGAACATGGTGTATTTTTCAGGTATATGGTAGATGTCTGTTGTACGTAACGTGTTTGTCAAGTATATGGTAGATATCTGTTGTACGTGACGTGTTTGTCAGGTATATGGTAGATATCTGTTGTACATGGTGTGTTTGTCAGGTATATGGTAGATGACTTGAACATGGTGTATTTTTCAGGTATATGGTAGATGTCTGTTGTACGTAACGTGTTTGTCAGGTATATGGTAGACGTCTGTTGTACATGACGTGTTTGTCAGGTATATGGTAGACGTCTGTTTTACATGGTGTGTTTGTCAGATATATGGTAGATATCTGTTGAACGTAACGTGTTTGTCAGGTATATGGTAGATGTCTGTTGTACATGGTGTGTTTGTCAGGTATATGGTAGATATCTGTTGTACGTGACGTGTTTGTCAGTTATATGGTAGACGTCTGTTGTACATGGTGTGATTGTCAGGTATATGGTAGATGTCTGTTGTACATGGTGTGTTTGTCAGGTATATGGTAGATATCTGTTGTACATGACGTGTTTGTCAGGTATATGGTAGACGTCTGTTGTACATGGTGTGTTTGTCAGGTATATGGTAGATGTCTGTTGTACATGGTGTGTTTGTCAGGTATATGGTAGATATCTGTTGTACGTGACGTGTTTGTCAGGTATATGGTAGATATCTGTTGTACGTGACGTGTTTGTCAGGTATATGGTAGACGTCTGTTGTACATGGTGTGTTTGTCAGGTATATGGTAGATGTCTGTTGTACATGGTGTGTTTGTCAGGTATATGGTAGACGTCTGTTGTACATGACGTGTTTGTCAGGTATATGGCAGACGTCTGTTGTACGTAACGTGTTTGTCAAGTATATGGTAGACGTCTGTTGTACGTAACGTGTTTGTCAAGTATATGGTAGATGTCGGGGTGTGGTTGGTACATTGTAGATGTCTGCCACAGTTCTGACGTGTTGAATGGGGACGTGGCAGCTTTATTGGATGGTACCTCGCTTTACACCTATTTCCTTTATTTGCTGCCAGTCACCTGATAATTCTTGTTTGTGCCTCCATTATCTTAATTACGAGTACATAAACCCAGACACGGGTGAAGAAGTTCCTGTATTCTAAATTAACGTTTTAAGAGTTACTGACGCCTTTATCTATATGTTTCTATACTATTTTTATCTTCGTCTCCAGGGTATTACATGGTTAGTCGGACGTGGGCGGGGCTAGGTGTAGTCCAGGTAACATTTCACAGGTTGTCTTATAGTATATGAATACCTCTTATTTGCTGTTGCGTGGGAAAATGGGACAATGAGGTCAGGTAAATGAGAGTTCACCTGCTGTAATTTCAATGTGTAAACATTCCAGGAAACATTCACCTTGAGCTATAGACACTGCATGATCAGTCAAGCATGAAACGCGAAAAACAATATTTAGACAATATACATCTGTTTGATTTTCATCGTAACAATGGTGGCGATTGTTTCTTGATCATAAAAAGAAAACGATTGAAATTTCTCTCCGTGGTCGAGGGACACGTGACCTGATATATGTACAAGTGACCACTGAACTGATTTCTCAGTTATCATTCAGTAAAAAGCAGAATGATCATGAGAAATTATATATATATTTACATACACCTTATCGTGATAATTAAATAGCGATGAATACATAATTACATGGACAAACAATTAAGTTGGAAAACTCGGCGGCTCTGAAAAATAAACAATTATATCTATCGAATCATATATGTTGGTTTATGATGTAAATCTGTATTTCATAAATGGGTTGTCGAAAACCATCTTTACAAGTTACTAACCTGTATATCATTAATCCACTTTATGCAATTTCTAAGAAAAAATAAATAACAAAAATACGTAGAAAATATACTGACCACGGACTTAAATATATATTTATGTTCTATGTATGTGATGTAATTTTTGTAATATTTGTGTCTTGATAAGGGGCAGGTTGCCTCGAAAATTTGACAATTCGCTTGACCTTAATGTCGTTATTACTTCACTGATCATATATATATATATATTAATTATTTGTCCGCGAATTGACCAATAATTATATCCTGCTTATTCTATTAATACTTTTGATAAAACATGTTTAAATCACTTAATTTGTCACTCATCGGTAAAAGTGATGGCAAAATTTTAGCCGAACTAAAGTAAAAGCAGTTAAAGTTTGGCTAAGTATAGACATAGAAATGATATATGTAATGTGATTTATAAACGACATGATATAAATACAAAGTATATACCAGCGCTAATTGATAGCGTCATGATTCAGGGCGACCACGCGATCAGGTCATAAAAAAAAATCCCGGGGCTGTGCATTTGATGACGTAGTTATCCCTCTAGGGGCCGACGGATGTGGCGGCCCGTGAATTAAGATATGGTGGACGTATTTGGGGACGCGACGCTGAGCCATAACAAAACAGCATTGTATTCGGAACCATCGGGGGCAACCGTATAATCATTGAGTTTACATAAGTCTATGTTCATAATGAGAACATATTCTGGATATTCAAATTATACAACAGTAATGTTTTATTTAATCGGGAGGGGAAAATTCGTGCAACAAATCGGACAACGCAAACATACGTAGTCGTACGTAATATTATGGTAAATCAGCTAGTTATTTAGTTATTTATAATGATCAAAGACCGTTAATGACAATAACTTCCACAATAATAGTTACTATATCACACTGAAGACTAATAAAGAAGATGACTGCGATGAATAACGGCATTTTGATCATTCTTTTAAAATATATTTCCCGTACTTTGAAATTATGAAAATGTGTGATTTCCCGGAAGAGGCTTACGTTACAAATGTGCATGTAAACATGCTAAATAAACGCTCCTTTTGATTTATTTCATTTTTCAAAATTGCTAAATTTGCATCTGATTACAAGACAAGTAAAGGGTAAACTAAAGTCAGATAGTAAATTAAAGCACAAAACGTGTTTGTTTGCGTTTTCTCTAACATTTTAAAAGTAAACAAAGAACGTATACCTATTCAGGGCCAACTACACGTGATGTCAGATAGCGGGAAATACAATTTCGCGCGCTTTTGGGATCGCTTTGTTTTGATTCTGAACCTCAAACTGAGGCTAAGAATAGCCGAAAAATATTGAACACCCTGGTGGAAAATCGTGTCCATCTTCACTAAAATTGAAGTGTTGAACATGATTTAATAACTTTATATACCAGTGGAGATATTATTTATTTATTTTGTGGGCCAATTTGTTGAGTTGCATTTCGATTGAAGAAGATTACGAACTTTTTTCAAGAGGCAGTCAGATCCGGTTTGTTTCTCCATTTTGCAGACTTCACGATTGCACGTCACATCAGAAAATTTTGCAGATCTTCGTAAAAATGCCACGGGGAAGTACACCAGGAAACAGAAAATTATGTACAGCTATTATAAAACGTGAGCCAGGAACAGAACTGCAATCGTCGCCTCAAATTTACAATTTAACCAGCATTTATCGACAGCCACTTAGTGATACAAAGGACTCTATTGCAAACTTGCAAGGCCTCAAAATCGAGGGAGGTTTAACACCAGGAGAAACGTGCTTAAGTCCGATCGCCGATATCAAACATATCATTAATAGACCACAGGTAAATTATAAACTTAAATCTATCGCTTTTAATATGTTTTGCATGCTTGTGTGTGGAAACCACAAAACTTCCCTTCGAGGTAGTCGACAAGTTACGTCACTGTTGTGTTGGCCGGGACTTCCAATTAGTATTGGCTTGTAAAGCTGCTAATGTATAATTGATACTTTATAAAAGTCCACTTTGATACAAACGAACCATGCGTTTGTTTAATTTTTGACAAATGAGGATACATGAGGCGAAATGTAAACACGAAACATGATATGCCACCCGGGTTGGCGATGTCCTCCTACAAAAACGCCACACCCACTCATTTTATGAGAATTGTGGAGTACCAAATGTATAAATTAAATTGACCAGACTTTATTGTCATTCGTTGTAAAACTGTTAAAAATAAGGCCACGTTCATAAATTTAATACTGAATTGTTGAATTCTACAAAACCCTCTTTGTACCAGTTTCTATCAAATTAGACTAAAGTGTATAAATAGTAAATTTTCTTAGAAAGGTTATTTATGGCCTGTTTTGATGCATACGTTTACATGTCGTCTAGCTGGTTACTTGTATACTATTTCGTGATGGTGAATGTTTCATGTACTATTAACAGCTAGCATAAAGATGCTTGTTTGATTTATCTGAAATATGTACTTTTTTATGTTGTAAAAGTTGCGGTCAAACAATAGCTGAATAATATAATGTTGAAGAAATGTAAAGACTTTTTTCCCCAAGTCTAGTGTATAATACATGGAACAGTTAGGCATGCATCATGACCAGGAATTCATGTGAATAATGTATAAATGAAATGAAATGGTTTTGAAAATAAGAACCTTGTGTATTTAAGACAAAGTAACGCTCACACGTTTCTGTAATTGTAATTTGCATGTGGCCCAAAATAAATAAATGGTTATTTTATATTCCAGGCTAAGCGAAAACTTGAATTGGAACCTGAAATAATTAATGAAGGATTCAAAACACCAGGGAAAACATGCAAGCGGAGAAGAACTACATCAGAAGCTAGTCCAAAAAGTTTGTAACTTGATTAGAATATAAAAACTCTTCATTCACTTTTAGGTAGTAACATTAATTATAGCTTTATTTGTGTTATTGGATGTGGGAAGACAGTGTTTGCTTATATGACGATATACTTGGCTAAAAGAGATTGGATATTGCCTGATTGAAATAAAAGCATTTAGCACAAACATAAACACAGCCTGACAACCATGTCAGTCATAGACCTTATTTATCATTACAGAATTTACGAAAGCCTTGGGCTGTATTATGATATGATGTGCAGCAATCATTTAATGGACACAGAAATCACTTGAGTTATCTCGTTTAATCTCTTGGAGGGTAGACTCTCATAAGACTTGTTTAGTAGAAGCTCAAACTAACATTTTCCATACATAGGGAGGCCGTCCTAAAATGACCATACTTGTATTACAAATGATTAATCTACCTTTGACTCACATGAAAAATAACTTCACATATTACATAAAGACTTAGTTTTTTTTTTTTTTTTTTTGTGGGAATGTCAAAGCATTTTGAAATACAGCTAAATCAGCAATATTAAATAAAAATGGTGTTATGATAAGGAAAAACTGATGTAGACATTATAATCACCACTTTAGCAGTTCTCTCTAAAACAAAATTTTTTAATTTGTGTTCATTCAAATTTTCCACAAAATCTGAAACTTCTTATGAAAAACGAATTTATTGAAGACAGATTTCAATTCATTATTTATGTATATAGAGCTACGGTTAAACTTTTAAAATGGACATTCCCTACAAGATTTAGATATAACACGTGTTAACTCATAATGTAAAAAGGAAATTCATTGTTTGATTCTCTCATGATAACTTCAAGGTAATCTCCTTTTTTCCAGCTCCTCGATCTCCTCTTGAGAAGACGAGATATGACACATCACTAGGTCTGCTGACAAAGAAATTTGTAGGCCTCCTCAAGAATGCCCGAGAAGGGGTAAGATTTTCGAATGCAATTAGAAATTGGGTTGCTTTTTATGTTTAATTTGTGTGCACCTGTAAAACTGAAAAAGCAATAGAATACCCCTGGAATGTAGCCTTCAAATTTACTCGCTACCTCTAGGTCAACTTCAGTATTAGGAAAAACTAAAAAGGATGAAACAATTATTTAAAATAATTCATGTCGGGTGTTCCCCATCATTAAAAGGAGAAGGATTTCTTCATGTGTCCTGATGTTTTTGGTATGTTTCTCCCTCAATACTCCAGGGGTTTGATCATTTTCGCTCTCTACACCCGTTTTAATACAGTGAAAATTCTAATTCAATAACACTTGAATTATACTTCCAAAATGTATTACGTTTGTTACTTATCTTCAGTAACCCTTTCTCTCGCGCCAGATCAATTACATGTACATTTGAGATATCCTGAATAGAGAGCAGGTATTCCTTACGAGTAAACACTAATGATGTATAGAAGAAAATATGACAGGAAGAAAGAATAACACACGAAAGAACAAAAGAATGAAAGCCATTTAGTAATATTGTTTAAATTTAAAAGATTAATTTTGATTGGCAGGTATTAGATTTGAACAAAGCAGCTGAACATCTGGAAGTCCAGAAACGTCGGATATATGACATCACTAATGTGTTGGAGGGAATCAACCTCATCTCCAAGAAATCCAAGAACAATATACAATGGAAGTGAGTTGTTGGATAGGGTCTCGCTATCAATTAAAGTCAGAGAGCAGTGCCCTCCGTAGGCTTTTCAGCAGGGCTGAATGGTGGGCTATTCTATTCAACTGGCCTACATCCCATGGTCCATTTTCCATCCATTATTGTCCATCCCTATTATCCCTATTTATATTTTGATTTATATACAGATGCAAGTTTCTTGTGATCCATAGTTGTGCTCTTTGGGCTGATCAGAAAAACATAGTGGCTGATAGATGGCCATTTTGGATTTTAAAAATAAAAGTTTATATAAGAATTACAACATAGATCTTGCAAAATTTCATATGAAGCATCCTCTTGGTTTCTCCTCTATGATATTAGGACTTGCCAGAAAAAAACAAAAATGGCCATCTTGGATTTTGACAAGTTGATGATTATTAGTGCCTAATTCTCAGATATGCTTTGGTTGTGAATGTTGTGGAGGTTTTTGATATTGAAAAAATAGCTTGGATTTACCTATGTGACATGGTACATTCTAAAACATTCAAAGAATTTTTCAGTTATTGGTAAATCTTTGTAAATATTTGAAATCTTGACCAAGAAAATGCATTTGGCTCTAGAAATTTTGTTTCCCAATTGTTGTGTTCTGGTCAAAACCGTAGAAATATAGAAAGTTCATGTTTTGCCTGAATTTACTTATTTATGCTTTTAAGTACATACTTCATTTTTTTTTACTTTCAGAGGTTGTACCAACTCCATAGCTGCCAATCCAGACTGTCCAGCACTTTCAACAGAAATTGTAGATCTACACTCAGGTACTTGAAAGGAAACTAACTCTGGGAGAAGATATTTCAGAAAAACAGTTAATGGTCCAGATTGCTGTTCTTTTAAGTAGAAAATTGGGTTTCTATGTTATAACGTTGGTTCCCATGGGCCAATCAAACACAAACTTCATACAATGCTTTCTTATCGAAAGTGCTTGCTATGGATTACTTTTCAGACCCAGAATTCTAAAGGTTGAGTTTATTTTTAATATAATGGAACATCCATTTCATCGAATAATTTGAGTTTGCTGTAGCCAATCTAACTTGATGTGATGCTTATAAACCAGAAGTGCTTGTTTGAGATAGATTGCCATTCATGTCCAAAGGTCAAAGGTCACTACAAGTTAAAATCAGTTTCTGTGTGATAACTTGAGTTTGCTTCGCCCAATCTAAATCAAACTTCACACAATGCTTCCTTACCAATTGTTTGCTGGGGATATTACTTTTTATATCCCAAGGATTTTCAGCCACAAAGCGGGGTCCTTGCTGACCAGTCAGTGTTCTAGTTTGCTTAGTATTGATAGGGTAGAAAACCAAACGGTGGACAGAAATGATTCATTTAGAAGTCCTGAGGTCAAGTTGACTAGTTGATAAAACAGTTATTGTATGGAAATTAATAGTTAATGGTTAATAGTTGCGGTTAAAGATATTCCTTAAATCCAAATGTCATACTTATATTAATGGAATCTACAAGAAACTTACTACCTGGAACTTTTGATTTATTGTTATCCTGAAATACAAACACCTTAAGACTGTCTTGAATTCAGAATTTGAAATGAACATCATAAAAAGTGTTGGTATGTAGGTATGTTATCAATTATTAGCCATAAGAGTAAAAGTAACACAGATTCAATCAATTGATGACTGTTTAGTTTCTGTAATATTTTGTTGTTCCTCAATTAAAATTTGAAAGTATCAACATGTACTTGATGACAAATCTTGTTTCTACATAGATGTAGCAGATTTAGAAGCAAAGGAGAACATGCTGGACAATCTTATAGTGAGCTGTACGAAGCAACTCAAGGGCATGACAGAAGAAGCAGATAACAAAAAATATCCTTTTTTTTCTCTGATCTTCAGCCCTTTTATACAAGGACAGATGTTTTAGTTCTTTTTTACTTGGAGAAAGAACTATATAGATAGATCAATCCCTGCTTACATCACTATAACCAAAGTCATGATAAAACTTAATTTGTTTCTAGCTTTCCCACAGACAGGAAAATCTCAGAAATAAACTTCAAAAGAAACAATAGATTCCTTTAAAGTTTATTTGGGAATGGACATAAGCTTTCCAAAGACATATGTAAATTTTCTCATGTTTGGGGAATATTTAAAGCGGAACTCAAAAACTTGCTTAATAAAGGATTTGGTAGATATATATGTATGGATTCTCAAGTTAATGACAAAATTTAATCTTGCCAATGTATTAGTTTGGCAGTATTAAAATATGTACTTTACATAGATAAAAAACGAAGCATATTTTCATCTAAAAAATAAAACCCCCAGAAAATCAATGAAAGAAACAATTGATTCATGATTGGGTCAGATTGAATTTTCTTTAACCGTATCACATTAGCTTACGTTACGTATCAAGACATTCGTAACATTGACACATTAGACGAACAAACAGTGATAGCAATCAAAGCACCACCTGAAACAAGACTAGAGGTACCAGACCCAGAACAAAACATCCAGATCTGGTTGAAGAGTTCCAAGGGTCCTATTGAAGTGTATCTTTGTCCGGAGGACACGACAGAGAGTGTTGCCGACACAAGCTCGTCAAGTATAGGTAGTGGGAGTTCCTGTTGTGAGGAGTCAAGTCGGTCAAGCTTTACAGCGTCTGAAGACTCCGCTTCATGTGACAGTTTTAAAGGTATCAGCAAATTCTCTAACAGTACAGGTGTATAACACAACATGAAATTTGTAGAAAAAAAATGAAAACAATAATTTTTAGAAAGAGAATTCACATGACCATTGAAGAGTCTGACATGGTCCATTTAGAGAAGATATTTAATTGAAACAATACATAATTTTTATCATAATTATCTTTAGCAATTGCTTCAACAGTAGGCTTAATTTGTGATCAAGTTTAATTGTCCGTATACACAAATTACACTGGAAGTTTTTTAAGTTTTATTTAACATTTTAGTGATTGGATGATGATCAGATAAAATTGATTACTTAATCATTTAACCTCATCTGTTGGGTTGATCAGTTGTAATTTTTCACAATCGATCATCAGTACTTTAGTATTTTCCCATTAGTAAAAACAAAATTCATAATATGCATGATGTTGATGTCAATGATATTCATTACTCTGCAAATTCTAAGTAAATGAGGTATTCTAGGTTCAAGTTACCCCCCAAAAATATTACCTTAATGCATGAACTTTCATAAATATTGAACACACTTATTAACTACATTAAGGCCTATCTCATTATAACCAATGATCTCTTGCAGATTTTAAGTGATTATGATCACTTCAACATTTGCTCTTGGAATGTTTTCAATTTAGTTCAATTTTCTTTTTCCAAGGCAACCAAGGCTCGGGTGTTAAGAATGCGTTATTGGAATATCAAGACATTTCTCCTGATTCTGTCAAAAACATTTTACAACAAACAGAGGACCAAGAACTAGATGCTCCGTTCATGGCCCTGGAACCACCTCTAGACATGGATGAGTACATCTTAAGTCTTGATGGAGGGGAGGGAATTTCAGACTTATTTGATGCCTATGACTTTGATATACCTGTGGTGTGAATTAAAGATTTCATCATGCAGAGCATCCCTTCAGAATTTGCTATGCCTCCTTAATTAGATCCACTTGAAAAGGTGTTACTACTTTCCTATCTCTGCCAGAGTGTTTTAATAATAGAAATAGATAAAAAATACAGGTCAACAGAGTTTATTAACCAACATTTAAAAAAGGTCAGGAGTTTAAGGATAATGGACCATCATGTAAATTAATCATGATGTGAAGTGTACATTCTTGCTTGAAATTTAACCACATATAGATTTACATTTTTCTCAAAATCATAATTCCTTTTTGCACTAAAAAATTATTTTGGTTTAGACATAATTTCCCTTATTGAATATATTTACTATTGGAACATTTAATATACAAGATCATGTTCTTATAGAAGGCAACATGTTTCTTGGAGGTGCTGGCAATATACATATTGAAGGTATGCTATGCAAGTTATAGATGTGAGGAGTTCACCGCCTGGAGTTTTAATGTAGAGACGGATGTGATTGTTTTGCAAGAGTGAGTGCATTCAAATTTAAACAGATTGACTTGTATTGAATGTTTTGATTTGTTAAAAAAATTTGGAATAACATTGGCCTCCAATATAAGTTTTAACAATATTTTTGAGGGAGTAATTTTAGTGCCGTTACTGACACTGCTTATATAGGTCTCTAAGTTCATGGTTAGTTATGTAAGCTTACAATTTCATAGACATTTGATCTGAATCAATCAAACAGTTGGAGCAGGGAGAGACTAGCTGTCTATAGGAAAATTTAGTGTGTTCAGATCAGTAGTTTTAAAATTTTTCTGTTATTATCAATATAGTGCAGAAATAACCCACCAGCAGGATATTCCAAAAATAAGGGGGAAATTTTCTGGTGTTGATGAAATAGAGTATCAAGTGAGATTCCTAAATCCTAGTATGTAATGTACTACTACTAAGAAGTGTTAAAACACTAATTTGAATCATTTTCACAATAATTTGTGGGGATGAATTTGCGGTATTTTGGAGGAAAATTGCATTTGTTTATTGACTTGTTCGATTTCCTTTCTTGGACATATTTTGGAGGGCAAATTATTAGATGTTGATTGTTAACTTATATACAAGTTTGTTTTTATAATCCTCTCTTGTTTTATTTATTAGTAATACATATGATTATCCAATAGAGATAGAATGTGCGTAGATTATGGCAGGCATAATGTAACTGTTGTTTCACGTTCCAAGTTCTCAATATTGGCTGAAAGAACAGACAATGTTAAGTGAGAGGTCGAGACCATGATTGGCATGACTTCTAAGATTAAGAACATGCCAGACCAGAAAAAAAATTCTCAAGATGTTGGTTTTATAATGAAATGCAAATTTTGAGGATGTAGTATTGTAAAATGCAATCCTTGTAGGGTTGTCGGTCCTCAGGGTTGTGATGGTTTGAGATAGGCATGCTGACAACTCGTTTGTGTGATGTGGTTTGATATCCCAGTGTGTTATGCTGTTTGTCCCAATTAAAAAAAAAAAGAATCTTTTGTCGAAATATCAATGTTGTCTCAAGTACATCTACAGTAAACCACTTAGATTTTGCATTTCTGAGAATTTCTGATGTGACAAATATTTATGGTTGATTAGCCCTCATTTGGTACAAACACAATTTTTCTAAATGCAGTGCAAACACTTCTTCAAGAACATGTGTGAATATAACAAATGAATCATGTGTGATAGTGTTGGATGAAATACTTTTGTCAGATGAGGGTTTGAATGTAGATCTGGAAAGAAAACTTAGGTGAAACTGGTAAACAATTACCTTGATTATGTTCAGATATACAAATAAATTTAACTGTTACTTACCGTAGCTAGTTGTATAAGGATATTAGAAAAGTACCTGCAGTAAACAGATATTTCAACAATTTCTAGACTGATGTGAAGACGCATTGATGTATTGCAATAGAATAGAATAATCAACATTGTAATAGTGAAAGAATTAACTTGGGACTCAAAAGTGTTGGAAAAACAAGGTTAGATCAAAGCGGGCAGCTTTTGTTTGATAGCATTTTCTCAACATTTTTCCACCCTCGTACATCCCACTTATCCACTATAGTATGTGTTATCTCTTAGACTTTTTATTTTGGGACAGATATTATTTTCTTTTTTGTTTATAATCCTTTTGTTTTTGTTTGTTGCTTTAAGAGTCCATATTTGTTAATGTTGTGTATAATTTATGATATGTATTAACAAAAACCTCAGAATCATGTTGTAGTGATGATTTGTCAGCCTGGTTTATATTCAGGTTCTATCCAGTTGTAGAAAGTGTCATAAGATGATGCTAATATGCCAAAACATAAGTGAAAAAAAACCCTTATTGGTTTCAAAAGTGATCAAAACAATTCTATGTATTACAAATTCCTCTAAATGTATAAAAAAAATTCCAAGATATAAAAAAAAAAAAAAACAATAGAAGTTGAGTTTCAGACATGGGCATGTAAAAACTGAAATGTAACTACCTTTTACATGATTCGTTGATTCACGGGACATGTCAGACATTTCTCATATCTGTTAAGACTGATACGCAACAAATTATTCTTAATCTTTTGAAACAAAGGTTGATATTGTATGGAATATTTTCCTGATAACTTCTGATATTTCCATGGCAACACTCACCTTCATCAGAAAAAAAGAACTGATTGATGAAGGTGACAATGTAGGTAGCTAAAGATCACCTACAAATTTTCTGATTTTGATGAATGGAAATCTATTCCATTATACATTGACCAATCTGAGAAAAATGTTTTACAACATTAGGAGTACATCTCTTGGGGTTTAACTGATTAAGGTTTCTTCAAATACATACCCTTATTTCTCTGTTGTCCCTGCTCCTCGTATAACAAGGTATTTTGTTTAATCTTAATGACACTTTTACCAACTGGATCCACTTCTTTGACTATGCACCAAATTGTCAGTAGACTGGCATGTTCATTAACTAATTATAAGTTAATTAGGAGCGTAGTTAAAGACTTTTAATTAGAATGTAATTTATTGGTTTCTTAACCTGAACTAGTGCAATGCAAGAAAGTCTATAAAAGTACAAATATTATATATTTATTTACTCAAATTAACTGAATTTTTATCCACTGGACCAATGATGCTACCTGAGGTTTGTGGGGTTTGAAGGACAGGATGTAATCAGTTATCACTTTTGCCCTTGTAACTGTTTGAAATTTTAAAGCAAGTTTTTCAACACTGCTGACTTGCATAAGTGATCTGAATTAGCAATTTACACTCTTAAAGGGATATTTCACACAAGTTAGATTCCATTGGATGTGTTTGAAGAAAACAGCATAAAATCATCTACTTGTTCTCGTATAGAAATCGTACTTTAAAATTTAAAGAAACATATGATACTTAATTTGCGGAAATTCTTTAAAGGTCTTTCTAGATCAGTTACAACTTTAGCATGGCCCTGATTGCGGCATAATTGGTTTGTGTTGTTATATGCCGAACAGAATGAAATATTCATGTAAATTACAAAATCAACAGAAAAGAAGCCTAATGGAGTAACAACATTGTAACCCAGTAGAGATTTTAGTGACAAAATACACACTTGTGTACTTACCCAATACAATCCAGTGACCTTTCATCTGTGGATTTCTGATACAATTATGTAGACGCATTGGCTAGGAGTATACCCAGTATTGCATGTCCAAACTGACCACAGAAGAGATGTTTTGATGCTAACAATGGTTTTAAAAGTCATTAGAATGAGTTCTTAAAAGGTATAGAACAGCCAGAAATTTTGCAACTTTGGCAGAATATCCCTTTAAATATTATTGGCACTATTGCTCCTGGGTGAAAATTTAAATATATGTCTGTTTAAAGTAAAGTTAATTTTGAATCAAACATAAATTAAAAAAAAAAAAAATGGGGCAAAGGTCAAGGTTGTTGATTGCATGTGATTGATCTATGGTATTGAAATGATTGCAGGTGACCCGTATAGATAATTAGACCAGGTAAATTGTGCTGAAAATATATTGAATATAGTTAGAAATGACAGCTTGAATGATGTCCTTAGAAGCTGATGAAATCTGATTATTTCAGTGTTATTTACTGGTAATGTACATTTTATACAAAAAATATTGAAAAAAAGAAAGATATATAGATATATATATATACAACTATAGACTTGACAATTTATGTAAAGTTTGATAATAGTGCTATAAAGTATATATATATGTACATGTATATATAAAAATGTGTGACATTTGGTATTAAATCTTATATTGATTATTGTTTCAAAGCACTAGGATTGATATCAATATGATTGTAAATTATCCATGGAATAAATTTGGAAATTAGAACAACACCTGCTTTCTTAAGGAATCCAAACCATCAAAAATGCCTCTTTCAGTGGCCAATCTCATTTGAAGTCTAGCAATTTTGAACATTTTGAGTTACAGAATAGATAATTTTTTTACCCCCTCCCCAAATATAGAGTTTATAATACATCGACTTTGAAGTATGGATGTATCCATCTTCTAGACATTTTATTTTTTTTATCAAATGATGTGTGTTTTATTTTGATAATTCTGCATGTGTTTTGTTAATTTGGAGTGAATCTTTGTTGTATTGTAATATGCAGTATTACTATTTAATTTCTTGATTTTTGTTGATGTATAAATTAATTTTATGGTATTGTCCAATAGAAATTTTTTTTATTTTAATAGATTTTGGTGTATTGGGTGATGACTTGAGTCTATACATAGATAATAGATAATAATGATTATACAATATAGAGACTGACACACTAGACATACCATATTGTGCCTTATAACAGCAAAACTTACCTGAGCTCAACACATGTAACTTTATAGGGTTAAAATAATTGATGCAGGTCTCTCTGTTTTATGAATGGCGATTTTACACATTTATTTACAAAACATATTCGTCAATTAAAGTCTTCTGCATTTTTTTCTATATACGATTAATGAAGTGTTAGAAATATACATCTTAATTTTGAACTCTGACAAT